GAGGCAGCGAACCCCATGGAGACCTCTGACATTAAAATGGAGGATGCAGTGAACCCCATGGAGGACTCTGACATTAAAATGGAGGAGGCAGTGAACCCCATGAAGGCTCTGACATTAAAACGAAGGAGGCAGTGAACCCCATGGAGGCCTCTGACATTAAAATGGAGGAGGCAGTGAACCCCATGGAGGCCTCTGACATAAAATGGAGGAGGCAGTGAACCCCATGGAGGCCTCTGACATAAAATGGAGGATGCAGTGAACCCCATGGAGGCCTCTGATAGAGAAATGGAGGAGGCAGTGAACCCCATGGAGACCTCTGACTGTAAAATGGAGGAGGCAGGGAACCCCATGGAGACCTCTGATAGAGAAATGGAGGAGGCCATGAGCCCCATGGAGGCCCCTGATATTAAAATGGAGGCGGCAGTGAACCCCATGGAGGACTCTGACATAAAATGGAGGAGGCAGTGAACCCCATGGAGGCCTTTGATAGTGAAATGGAGGAGGCAGTGAACCCCATGGAGGCCTCTGATATTAAAATGGAGGAGGCAGTGAACCCTATGGAGTCCTCCGACATTAAAATGGAGGAGGCAGTGAACCCCATGGAAGCCTCTGACATTAAAATGGAGGAGGCAGGGAACCCCATGGAGACCTCTGATAGTAAAATGGAGGAGGTAGTGAACCCCATGGAGGCCTCTGATATTAAAATGGAGGAGGCAGTGAACCCCATGGAGACCTCTGACATTAAAATGGAGGATGCAGTGAACCCCATGGAGGACTCTGACATTAAAATGGAGGAGGTAGTGAACCCCATGGAGGCCTCTGATATTAAAATGGAGGAGGCAGTGAACCCTATGGAGTCCTCTGACATTAAAATGGAGGAGGCAGTGAACCCCATGGAGACCTCTGACATTAAAATGGAGGATGCAGTGAACCCCATGGAAGCCTCTGACATTAAAATGGAGGAGGTAGTGAACCCCATGGAGGCCTCTGATATTAAAATGGAGGAGGCAGTGAACCCTATGGAGTCCTCCGACATTAAAATGGAGGAGGCAGTGAACCCCATGGAAGCCTCTGACATTAAAATGGAGGAGGCAGGGAACCCCATGGAGACCTCTGATAGTAAAATGGAGGAGGTAGTGAACCCCATGGAGGCCTCTGATATTAAAATGGAGGAGGCAGTGAACCCCATGGAGGCCTCTGACATAAAATGGAGGAGGCAGTGAACCCCATGGAGGTCTCTGATAGAGAAATGGAGGAGGCAGTAAACCCCATGGAGGCCTCTGATATTAAAATGGAGGAGGCAGTGAACCCCATGGAGGCACTGACATTAAAATGGAGGAGGAGGCGAACCCCATGGAGGCCTCTGATAGAGAAATGGAGGAGGCCATGAGCCCCATGGAGGCCCCTGATATTAAAATGGAGGTGGCAGTGAACCCCATGGAGACCTCTGAGATTAAAATGGAGGATGCAGTGAACCCCATGGAGGACTCTGACATTAAAATGGAGGAGGCAGTGAACCCCATGAAGACTCTGACATTAAAACGGAGGAGGCAGTGAACCCCATGGAGGACTCTGACATTAAAATGGAGGAGGCAGTGAACCCCATGGAGGCCTCTGACATTAAAATGGAGGAGGCAGTGAACCCCATGGAGGCCTCTGACATAAAATGGAGGAGGCAGTGAACCCCATGAAGGCCTCTGATAGTGAAATGGAGGATGCAGTGAACCCCATGGAGGCCTCTGATATTAAAATGGAGGAGGCAGTGAACCCCATGGAGGCCTCTGACATTAAAACGGAGGAGTCAGTGAACCCCATGAAGGCCTCTGATAGTGAAATGGAGGAGGCAGTGAACCCCATGGAGGCCTCTGATATTAAAATGGAGGAGGCAGTGAACCCCATGGAGTCCTCCGACATTAAAATGGAGGAGGCAGTGAACCCCATGGAGGCCTCTGATATTAAAATGTAGGAGGCAGTGAACCCCATGGAGTCCTCCGACATTAAAATGGAGGAGGCAGCGAACCCCTTGGAGGCCTCTGATAGTAAAATGGAGGAGAGAGTGAACCCCATGGAAGCCTCTGACAGTAAAATGGAGGAGGCAGCGAACCCCATGGAAGCCTCTGACATTAAAATGGAGGAGGCAGTGAACCCCATGGAGGCCTCTGACATTAAAATGGAGGAGGCCGTGAGCCCCATGGGGGCCTCTGACATTAAAATGGAGGAGGCAGTGAACCCCATGAATGCCTCTGATAATAAAATGGAGGAGGCAGTGAACACCATGGAGGCCTGTGATATTAAAATGGAGGAGGCAGTGAACCCCATGGAGACATCTGACATTAAAATGGAGGAGGCAGTGAACCCCATGGAGGCCCCTGATATTAAAATGGAGGAGGCAGTGAACCCCATGGAGGACTCTGACATTAAAATGGAGGAGGCAGTGAACCCCATGGAGGCATCTGACATTAAAATGATGGAGGCAGCCTCTGACATTAAAATGGAGGAGGCAGGGAACCCCATGGAGGCCTCTGACATTAAAATGGAGGAGGCAGCGAACCCCGTCAATGCCTCTGATAGTAAAATGGAGATGGTGACCTTTCTGAGTACTGGGCCTTGAGCAGGCTAAAGTTTAAGTGGAAGGAAGGAAATCTTGATGGATGGGGAGGGCCCGCCAATGCCAACTGGAAGAGGGGAGGGTCAGGGGGTCTAGGAGCAAAGAACAGCTAGACTGAGGATGAAGAGGGAGGGGGGCTGGAAGCCAGTTGGCATTCCATTGGGGCTAAGGGTGAGAAGGAGCCAGAGGAGTGGTTAGGAGCACGGAGGAAATTGGGGATGAGGAGGAGCTGGGGAGGCTTGAGGAGCTAGGAAGAAATACAGAGTGAGGACGGTTTGGGGAGGGGAAAGGAGAGGCTGGCTGTCCAAACTGGGGAGGGAGGGTAAAGAGGAGTTGAGCAGGGACTAGAGAGGAGGAGCTGGGGAATGATGGGCCAGGAGGAGCTGGGGAGAGGCTAGGGATGAGGAAGATCTGGGAAGGGGTGAGCAGGGAGGAGGAAACAGAGTCTGAGGTATGGAGGAGGTGGGGAAGGGCTAGGGTTCAAGAGCTCGGGAGGGGTTGGGGAAGAGGAGGAACCTGGTAGACCTGGGGAAGAGTGAGGAGCAAGGAGGAAATGGGTGCTGAAGAGTTGGGGAGGGTTATGGAGGAGCAGGGGAAGGCAGAAGACAGACGGGCCGAGAATGAGTTGACGTTTGGAAGGAACTAGATGTGAGCAGGAGCTGGGGAGGGGCTAGAAGCAATGACTCTGAGCTGGGGAGGGATTAAGAGTAATGAAGATTCCAGGAGGGTGAGGAGGCTTTGGGAACGGGTGAGGGGTTGCTGTATAGGGGTGGGGAAGTTCTGGAGCTGAGGAGGGTCTAGGGACAGGCTGAGATGAGGAGCTGGGGAGGCAATAGGCGAAAGGAGTGACTGTGGAGCAGCTGGAAAGGAGGAAATGGGGAGGAACTAGAGATGAGAGATGAGATGGAGTGAGGAGGAACTGGGGAGCTCCTGGAAGCAAGGATGAGCTGGGAGGGGCTAGAGGTGAGGAGTTGAAGAAGGGTTAGGAGTGGTGAATACCTGAGGAGGTGTGAGGAGCAAGAAGGAAATGGGGGAGGAAGAGCTGGAAAAGTGTGAGGAGTAGCTAGAGAGGGTTCAGGAGGTGCTGTGGGTAAGTTGAAGCTCGGGAGAGTCTAGGAGGAAGGAGAAGCTAATGGGTGAGGAGGATCTGGGTTGAGGTTGGAAGCAAGGATGAGCTGGGGAGGGAGCCATGGTAGAGCTGGGGAGCTGGCATGGTGAGGAGGAGAAAGGGGTCCTCAGTAGGGTCTGAAAGGCCAGGAATGGCCTGGGGGCCATCTCTGTATTTCTGGGGTCAGCCCCAAATCCATTAGAAACAACCTGAGGACCCTTCTTCATTTTCCCCCACTATTATGTAAGTTTGTTCAGTACTATATGGATGTTGGTAGGAAGGAGAGCAGTTGGAGGCCAAAATGGGGGAGGTAGGGAAGGACAGAAGGAACTAGAAGGAGATAGACAGTAGGGAGTGAGTGGGGAGAGCATGGCCTAGAACATGAAAGAGAGGGAGAAGCAAAGCTATTACTGTATAGCCAAGATGGATTAAAACTGATGATGCTCTGTTCTAAACTTCTTGCATATTGGGATCACAGGCGTATATCACATTGAGCTTTTTCTGTGTTTTGTTTTTGTAAGAAAGGGTCTTACTTTGTAGCCCAGGCTCACTTAGCTTGGTTTGGCCTTAAACTTGCAATCTTTGGAATCTCAAATACTAAGACTGCTCCCTCAACCCCAAGTGGTGGGGTTGTGCTGGGGATGGAACCTAGGACTTCTTAAATGCCAGGCATGAACTGCACCTGTGGGCTACATCCCCAGCATTGTACAAGTTTAGCTTTTAAGATTTATTTGCTAGGAGGAGATTTTGGCATGCTTGTGATCTATTTTGCCAGCAGTATTGATTTTACTTTGAAAATTACATACAACCGTACATATTTGTTCAAATTCATTAAGAACTGGCAAAAATGAGACCAAAATTCAGTTCATCAAGTGGATAGGTGTAAACATTTGTAGTCAAGGTTAAACCACCCTTGTTTTAACTTTTTTTTTTTTTTTGGTTTTTTTTCAAGACAGGGTTTCTCTGTGTAGCTTTGCACCTTTCCTGGAACTCACTTTGGAGACCAGGCTGACCTCGAACTCACAGAGATCCGCCTGCCTCTGCCTCCCGAGTGCTGAGAGTAAAGGCGTGCGCCTCCACCGCCCGGCTTAACTTCTTTTTTACATTGCCAATTGCCAAACTTTTTGCTTTGGATCCAATAAATCAAGAAAACTGTTAGCAGTTTATGCAAATAAGACCATCTTGATTGTATATGATAATTTTCTCAGTTTATTTAAACAATGACTTTGAATTCAGATGATTTGAGAGATTTGTTTTTCTTCTTGTGCTTTAAAACAGAAAATATACAGTTATGTTTCCCTATCCAAGAAGGGATTCTGAAGAGCCTGAAAGCACACCAGTGCAGGGAGAGCCCTCAGTTTATTACTTTGAAGATGATTATCAAGACCTCGGTGCTTCACAGAGGAGTGATACTCAAGGTAGACGATATCAAATGGTGGGGGCTGATGTGTGTATACTAATAATAATAACATAAAAATTCAAGGTATCAAATTTTGAGTGTTGATAATGTCCACCAGTTCTTTTGTTTTGAACCTAATACACTTAAAATTTGTTAATTTATTCTGTGTACTTTACTCTCATCTGATCTCCATATCCCCATATCTAAGTTCTAGAAATGCATGTAGCGTCTCTTGCCTTTGAAGTCCTAACATGGTGATCAATAAATAGTACATAATTTGCTATATAATTTTATCCTAGAAAGACTTCAAAATTTTCCTACAAAAGGTCATGAATCATGATTTAACTTCATCTAACCTTCAAAGAAAATTTTGTATTTATATATCTAATACAAAAGCTTAAGTTGTCAAAATGTCTGAAAGAAACTCAAATATGCTGTTTTGTTGCAATTTGTTAAAATAATCATATTTAATTTAAATTTTTTTTCTTGTCAACAGTACAGAGTTCAGCAAGTGATTCACATGGGAAGAAAAGTCCTATAGAACTGTTTGTAGATGTGGGGTAATATATTAAAAATATTTGTCTGTTGAATAATGTACTTTAAGAAATGTTTGCTTTGTTTATGTAACAGCTAGTATATATAAAATACTTGATATTTGCTATTTATTCCAAACTATTATATCTTACGAATCCTTAATTAAACAGTGTTTGTCATTATGTTTGATATCCAACGGGGGTTTTGTGAATATTTGGGAAATACTCTATTACTGAACTTCAGTGCTAGCTTTAATATTTTTTAAAATGTGATTTCTTCATAGGGAAAAGGTAGAGGTTGTTCTTGGAAAAATTGGAGGTATGTTTTTGGAGATATTTATATTTTTAAAAAATTGCTTAAAACCACATAATAGTTTACATAAAATATGTGTTAACCAGTATACTATATGCCTTCCCATTTTTACTATATGCTTTGTTCTCATTTAAAAGATTTTTAAATATTAGTGATTTAGCATCATAGATATTCTTCCTTATAGTTTTCCATGATGAGAGAAGTAAAAATGAAGTCACATAGGTGACTTCAATGGAATTTCAGAAGAAATAGGAAAAGCTTTTATACTTCTTTGAACAGACTAAGTCGTGTACTATTTCTATATGTCAGTTTCTTCTTTTACTCTTTATATCAGTTTTTTATTCAATTTATTTCCTAGGATTTATACTGTGTTCCTTTCTTTAGGGTAGGCAGTATAAAATTGAAGCTTCTAATATAACTCCTTGTTACTGTTTTCATTCTAATAAATTATAATCTAAGGTGAAAATTGGATAGCCAATAGAGATTTAAAATCTGAACCTAAAAACCTTGTTTTAAGAAATATGTTAAGGATAAGTTACATGAGCTTTCTTAGGGAGAATATTCACTTTTATTTGTTTGTTTGTTTTGAGAAAGTCTCACATGGAACGCAGGCTGGCATTAATGCTGTAGATCACTTGACTTAACCTCACAGGTGCTGGGATTACAGGGACAGACAAATCCAACCAAGGAGACAGTACTATTTTAAAAAGAGTTAATAGAGGATGGAGAAATGGCTCAGTAGTTAAGAGCACTGGCTGATCTTCCAAAGGAATCCAGTTTGATACCCAGTACCCCCAAGGCGATCCAGTGCTGCCTTTTGGCCTCAGTGGGAACCAGGCTCGTGGTGCACAGACCTACATGAAAACATAACACCCCCCACACATAGCACTTATGAAAACAGTTAATATTAGGCTCCTTTAAGGATTACTCATATAATCAACTTTTTTGAAAGATGTCCTTCCTCTATTTAGTGGTGTCAAGATACATGTTTTATAATCTGTTGTTTCACTGTATTATAGCTGCTGAGATTATCTCTTTCATATATTTCACATATTTATCTCTTTCATTTATTTATTATATGAAACAATTTTATTTAGCTGCAGAAACTATAAATTATTTCTATAATAGAAATTTGTTATGGTTATTGGAAGTAACTGATAAAAACAACCTTTTTTCTTATTGAGACACAGTCTCACTATGTAGCTCTAGATGGCTTGGAAATTGGTATGTAGACCAGGCTAGCCACAGATTCACAGAGAACTGCCAGCCTTTGCCTCCCGAGTGCTGGAATTGGCAGTATGTGCTGTGCTGTCATTTTTTGCTACAACAGACTATTTGAAGTTTAAATTTTTGTATGAACTGCTTGCTGTACATAGTGGTAAAAATCCCTATAAAGGCTTAATGAAGTGTAAATAATAACCAAAGCATACCAAAGAAGACATGCTAAACAAGTGCTGACCAACGAACTACATCCCCAGCTTCTCATTCACTATCTCTTTCACAAATAGTTTTAATACTTTAGTTAACTTCTTTAGATTATATTTTTAATATGCTATTTTATTTCATGCTTTCTAACAAGAATTCAGGCAAATGTACCCTTCCAGTGTAGAGTGTTTTATAAATTTAGAAATAGCCTTTATTTAATTATTTTCTCATAGATAAAGTCTACACTTCCCCTTTGTTTTGTTTATTAGTTCATTTGTGTCATCTCTAAAAACATCTTTAGTTAGGAAAATCCTGACTGCTATATGGTTATTCAAAATGTTTGGGACTAGAAATGTTTCAGATTTCAGAGTTTTGGATTTGGAATATTTTCATAAATTTTGCTGATTGAACAGACCTGGTAAGAAAATCCAAAATCCTAGATGTTCAAAATATGAAAGTTGTATCATATTGATGCTATTTTAAAATTTAATTTTAAATGTTTCTGTTATTGATGAATGAACATTATTCAAATTTATAATTACTTGAATAAGTGGGAACAAAGTACTTTTCTTCAACACTGAATTCTAATGAACACTAATTTTTAATATAGCTGACATTAACCGTGCTCTTAATGCTAAGAGACAAAGAATGGAAACAGATGTCAAAGAGTCTTTGGAAGGAATTGACCAGAAAATGAAACAAACTTGGAACTCATATGAAGACGCATTGTAAGGTTTTTTCTTTTTCTTTTTCTTGAAAACCATGTTTGTACCTATTCTTAATATATATTGATGTAAATCACTTTAAAAAATGCTGTCATCTTCTGTTTATTTGAGTCTCTAGTAAAAATATTTGACTTGAGTTTTCTCTAGGCAGGTGCTTCTGTGACCTCCTGCCTCTATGGAGCTGCTTCATAGAAGCCAGTGAAGATTATGTTTTTCTCCTTTAAGTAACAATTGAGGAGGTTTATTACTTCTTCAGTATTTTATATTCAGTCTTGAAATCAGTTGAATAAAGTTTAGATGAATAGAATTTGATAACTGTTAGATAGTTAACCACGGCTACTGATGTAGAAAAAGGTCAATTTGAACATGTTAAACACTTAGCTCTTGCTTTGTACTAAATTGTGGCTGTGCCAAAATGGGGAGTGGGGAACTTAGTGAGGTATTTTTGCTTGTAAATTGTAGCACGAATCTTAAAAGTTCTTATTAATAAAAACAAACCTGAAACCAGGTATTGGGGTGAATGCTGGAAGATCAGAGAAGCAGAACAAGCCACAGCTACCTCACCTGGCCAATTCCTCAGCTGATCCTGTTTCCTCAGACTGGAAGCTTCTGAGTCCTCATCCAAATGGATCTCAGCTGAACTTTGCTGCTCAAAGCCTAAAAGCTTAACCAGGCTCTAGTTCCTGGTCCTCACTCCTTATATACCTTTCTGCTTCCTGCTATCACTTCCTGGGATGAAAGGCATGAGTCACCATGCCTGGCTGTTTTCAGTGTGGCTTTGAACTCACAGAGATCCGGATGGATCTCTGCCTCCAGAATGCTAGGATTAAAGGTGTGTGTGCCACCATTTTCTGGCCTCTGTATCTAGGGGCTGTTCTGTTCTCTGACCCCAGTTTATTAGGGTGCACAGTATTTTGGGGAATACAATATCACCACAGTAAATCACTTAATTTTTTTTTTTTGAGACAGGGTTTCTCTGTGTAGCTTTGCGCCTTTCCTGGAACTCGCTTTGGAGACCAGGCTGGCCTCGAACTCACAGAGATCCACCTGCCTCTGCCTCCCGAGTGCTGGGAGTAAAGGCATGCGCCACCACCGCCCGGCTCACTTAATATTTTTAAGATTCTATATTCAGTAGAAAACAATGAAAAACTATTTGGAGATAATATTATTTTGAAAATAGATATGTATGATAAAACTTCCATAGTTTTCAAAAGCCACTGTATGAGAGGGGACTTTAATGTTAAGAAATTAGTTCTGGAATCAATATAAATCTAATTTTACTTCTGAGTTTTCCATCATACTATTTAAACTGCTATTACTTCCTTTTTATGCTATGATGGTGTATCAATTCAATTTTGCCTTGAATGTTGTTTTCAGACTAGTATAAGAAGTAACATCATTATTATGTTTTACAGGGCAAAGCTTAATGAAGACTCTGCTCAGTCATTTATGAATCTGTTTGAGCAATGGAATTTGGATTTTCAGGACTTGCAAGAAAAACAGAAAAAATTAATGGTTGGTATCGCAATTATAATTAATCTACTATAAATAAATCTCAAGAATAGAGAAGCCATTATTGTGTTAATTACATAAAACAAACCCAGGCTTGTTTAGAGACTGAAATTTCCAAGAGCAAATGATGTCTTGAAAATAATTGCCTATTCTATGGCCTGTAACTTTAGGAGCTAATGAAGGAGGTTAATAACATGTTAGTGGTAAAAGCATAACTTAAACTTAGGCATAATGGTTATTAAAGAAAAATATTAAAGGCAGTCATTTTAAAATGTTTTTTTCTGAGTCTAAAATGTAATTTTTTTCTAAATTTAAAATTTTAGAGATTAAGCTGTAGCTCAGGACAGTGTTTGCCTTGTATGGATGAGGCCCACAACAACAACCAACTTTTACCAAACTCTTAATATAGTTTTTCCTTTTGTATTTGTAGAATGATTTTCAACAGGAAATAAAGATTTTTCAACAATGTAGGCTTGTTCAGAACCAGAGACTGAGAACAATTAAACAAGTACACGAACAGTTCTTAAAGGTATGTTATATGTGATAACAATATGGTTTTAAATATATAATGCACATTTTTCCTTACAAGAATAAGGTAATTTCCATTTTGAATTAATTGATGTGGTAATTAGAACTGTAGAATTCTAATGGTTTTATGATGCTTATTCAAGACAGAAGATAGTAAATTGTGAATTTTCCATAGATATATACTTCACATGTATTAATAGTCATACTTCAAGTTTACTCATTGCTCTTTATTTAACTGGAAAGTCTACATATCATTTCTATCATCTTTGTAATCCTACTATATATTAAATAGGAAAGGCTCAAAAGAAATACTTTTTAAAGATTTAGGGCAAAGGATCCCCTGGAACTAGAGTTACAGAAAGTTGTGTGCTGCCTTGTAGGTGTCTGGAATCAAACCCAGGTCTGCTGGGAGTGCATCCAGTGCTGTTCCCTACTGAGTCCTCTCTCCAGCCTCAGGAAGGACCCAAATTAAATTAAACTTTGTTTAGAAATTCAGTAGGCAAGTATTTTCTAGCATATCAGTTTTTAGAATTATTCCAGTGGCTAAAATAACTTTATCAATTTATAGCCATGTTAGCCCAGAATAATAAAGATTCAAATTTCTTCCTTGAGTATTAAGTGTATGCTAGTAAGCTGATATATAACAATAGTTTTAAAATAAATATTTTAAAGAACCTTAAAATAATTTCTACACAAAAGTTATTTTATGTGTTTTCCAAATACAGCTCCTGCCTGTTTGCTCTAATATTCCCCGAAAACAGTTTGTTATTTAGTACCAATAAAGGTATCTTCTATATGATATCACCAAACATTACAATTAGTGAGGAACTTTAGTATAATTTTAAATTTCTCCATAGCCTGTGTTTTCACATTCAGTTATTACTAGAATTTTACCATTTTAATTTCCATAATGCGTCATTGTTTCTTTAACTCCTATTGCTGAGATCTTAGCTTATAGTATTTGATATTCTCATCATCCTTTGCTTCTACTAGGAAAGCTGTTTCCCCTGTTCTTCAGTCCATCCTTCATAGGTCTCGCCATGTTGTATTTTTAAAACATGTTTTTCTTCCTGTGATCTAATAACTTTCAGTTGTGTATTCTGAAAAACACCATGCCATGAATCTCTTGAAGTTACCTTTATTCTAATTGTCCACTAATACACCTCTCTACATAATTGTTTTCTCTGAACCTGCTGTCTGGTTATACTCTTCCCCTAAGATATTTTTAATTCCTTTTCATTTATTATGAAATTGATTCCTTTGTCAAGTAAACTGTAAGCATTTCCCACTTTCTACTTTATATTTACAGAAAGCTACATTTTCATTCCCAATATAAAGTTGTTTGTTACTTTTATTTAAATGTTTATTTTTCTGGAAATAAAGTGATTGTATATTATTCTCTTTTGTTTTTTCCATAGCACTTTGTACTTGTCACTTGGTTGGTGATGGATAACTCATTAGAAAATGATTAGGAAAGATTTAAACTATCATTTTTAAATGGATAGCACATTCATACAATAGTAGTACTAAAGACGGATGGACAGTTGGAGGGTAGCCTGGTCAATAAAGTGAGATACTGTTACAAAACAAAAATACAAAAATATAAATTTTGCTATTAACGATCTGAAAAATGATCTCATACTATAGATTATTTTTCCCTTTTTTAATTCATTGTCACATCATGTCACACTGACTTTTTGTCTTAAGTAGATTGTAACCTTATGTTTGAGAAAGTTACTAGAAATGTTCACAGTTGTGATGTTTGCTTAGGAGACCCTGTGGTCTTTCTATTTCTATATTTTTCATTTTCTTTTATTGGAAGAGAAAGTATCTATATTGCACATGCTAGCCTTCAGGCTTTCAGTCCTCCCAATGGTGCTTGCAACGTTTTTGATACTGTAAGCCCAACTCTCCCCTCTCCTGGTCCTGGCTTGACCTTAACATTCACTAAAACTATTTCTTTTTTTTTTTTTTTTTTTTTTTTTGGGTTTTTCGAGACAGGGTTTCTCTGTGTAGCTTTGCGCCTTTCCTGGAACTCACTTGGTAGCCCAGGCTGGCCTCGAACTCACAGAGATCCCCCTGGCTCTGCCTCCCGAGTGCTGGGATTAAAGGCGTGCGCCACCACCGCCCGGCCACTAAAACTATTTCTTAAGCAAAGTGTACCACTGTATCTTCTATAATTATATCTGATTTATGTCTGAATTATTTTGCATCTTAACAGTAAGAATTTGGGTCTTTGTGTATTAGAATTTTTTTTACTTGAAATAATGTGTATTACTTAGATATTTAAAATACTCTTGAAATTTTATTTTAAAATTTAGAACTTGAGATGAAAAATAATGTCATAGGACTAAACTAGCCTTTTATGTTTAGAATTTGGAAGAGTTGGAGAAGGAGAATGACAATCTGCTTCTTGGTATCCAAAATGAAGTTAAAGAAGAACTGAATAAGCTGTGAAGAAAAATTATGAAAGAATCTGTAAGTTGAATATCAAGTTGGAAAGAAGAATTAATGAAAGCACAGAAATATTTTATTTTCTGATGTATGAATGACACTGAACTAAGAAATAAACCTGTTTATTATCTCTTTTCCTTGAACAGCAGCAGCAAGAGATGGTTAATGTTCGACAGTCTCTTCAGTCCATGCTGTTTTGATGGGAAGAATATTTGGAGAAGGAACCTAAATCTAAATGATACAGTTCAAATGCCAGCTAAGAGTCTTGCTTTAAGATCAATTCTAGTTTAAATGGCAAGGTCTTTAGTCATTAGCTTGTTCACCTTGTCCTACTTTATTCTGAATAAAATCCAGTTATGTCAGTATCAACTATGCCTGTATGTCAAGGTTTTAATTCTTTTGTTACAGTGAATTTTTCTTTATGACATTGTTAATATTTTCAATAAAAATGATTTGTTTGGATATTGACTTTAGTATTTAGTGTATCAGTCCCAAAGGTACAAAGGTAAGGTATAGAAAGTTACGTTGGTTTTATTTCATCTTTCTGACAGGGTCTTATCACGTTTGCCATGATGGTGTCTAACACTGAACTAAAAAACAAGCTCAAATCTAAGTTCAGGTAATCCTTGCACCTCAGCCTCTAAAGTAACTGAGACAGCAGGTGGGTACAACTATTCCTAGTTTATATTGTTATTTAAGGAGAAAACCCTCCAATCAATTTTCCATACTTAACTGAATCGCGTAGCCCATTCTAAGAACACATGTTAAAAAGCTTGTGTTCATATCTTGGAGTTAAACAGTTAAGACAGTAATCAAGCTGAATATTCATACTAGGTTTGGTTTTGTTTGTTGAGACAAGGTCTTGCTCTGCAGACTTGCCAGGCCTGCAGCTTGCTATGTAGACCAGGCTGACCTCGAATTCAGAGATTCGACTGCCTCTGCTTCCCAAATGCTGGGATTAAAGGCGTGCGCCATCATGCCCTGCCTGTTTACTAGTTTTAAGACATTCAAGAATTTCATTTCCACAGGGCATCAAATGTCATTGGGATCGGTCTGCAGTTAAATGGCACATGTCCTTAGTAATGATTAGGAGTATATCATGAGGGCAGGGTGGTGCACGCCTTACTCCCAACACTCACTCAGGAGGCAGAGGCATGCAGATCTCTGAGTATGAGGCCAGCTTGATCTATCTAAGCAATTTCCAGGCTAGCCAGGACTACAGAGTGAAACTCAGTCTCAAAAAAAAAAACATGTAAAACAAAAACAAAGTAAAACATATTATGAGTATAGCTACTTTTCATTGTTTAAGGATGTTACACCTATCTTCAAAAACAAATTTCCTAGAATAATACTTCAAAGTCTCAAATATTAATGTTAACAAATGTTTGGAAGTTTTGTTTTTAGATTTATTATCAAACATAAATAGCTTAATAACTTGCCTTTTTAAATGCATTTTGAGCTGGGCAGTGGTGGAACACATCTTGAATCAAAGCTCTCAGGAGGCAAAGCCTGGCAAATCTCTGAGTTTGAGACCAACTTGGTCTTGATAAACCAAAAAAAGAAAAAAAATGCATTTTTACAGAGAAACTTAAAAAATATGTGATTTTTAAAAATATGAAACTTTAGACATATGTTAATGTTTAAACAAAAACCCATTAGAGGGAAAGCAACAATTATTTCATTTTCATATTTATTTTTTTCCTATATAACTCACCCTCATTTTTTTTTTTTTTTATTTTTCGAGACAGGGTTTCTCTGTGTAGCTTTGCGCCTCTCCTGGGTCTCGCTCTGTAGACCAGGCTGGCCTCGAACTCACAAAGATTCACCTGCCTCTGCCTCCCAAGTGCTGGGATTAAAGGTGTGTGCCACCACTGCCCGGCTCCCCTCTTCATCTTAAAGTGAATATTCTCCAACTTAAAACACATACACACACACACACACACACACACACACACACACACACACACACACACACACACAAATTATCCTTTTCTAAACTGGTATAATCTATATAGGAATAAATTAGTCTTTCACCATTAGTACATAATTAGATTAAGAGGGCAATTTAACTCCTTTTTTCTGTGGTACTGGGATCCATCCAATGTCTTGTCTCCCTCTTGTTACTGGAGGGAATCTCTCGGATCACCCATGACAAAAAGGCCAGGTTCTTTTCATCTCTAATAAAGATTTGAGCGAGACACATGGTAGTAATAATTAAAGTCTGGACTTATTAGAAGTACAATAAAGACATAAAATACGCTGCACAGAACAGAAATGGACCTGAATAAGTGTGTGGCTCAAGAGCCCCATTTTGTGTCCAGGTGCTTTTTATTAAATGGAAAGTAAAGGTTCTCTGAAAGGGTAGATTCTTTGTTGGCTGTCTAGGTGATTAATGTTCTTTGCTGGAAGGGTTTTGTACAATCCTTGGGGCAGTCAAAGGGATGTTATTTTTCTCAGTTACTGTAATCTCCTTATGACTCACAGTCATGTGTGTCTGACCCTATTTTCCTGCCTCATTTTTCACTGCTGTATTTCCCTCATGAAATAGGAATCTTAAATACTTTTATCAAATTTCAAAGGAGTCTTTTTCTTAAGTTTTACTAATAGTTACAGAAGCCAAATAAGTACTTCAGAGTGTTTTTTGTGTACTTAATTCACGTAAGTGTGTTTTTCTTCTTAAGGTATATTATCATTCTTCACTATGCATATATAAAGTACATGCTTGTTACTCTCCCTAATTTATCAACTGACTATGGCATATGGTAGTCCATGTCTTTGAAAATACTCTTTCTTCAGTAAGGCCACCTTCCTCTTTTCCTCTGTGTTTTCTTGGTTTTTTTAAGTTTTTTGCTTTTGCTTTTCAAAACAGGATTTCTCTGTGTAACAGCCTTGGCTCTGTAGACCAGGCTGGCCTCAAACTCGTAGAGATCCGCCTGTCTCTGCCTCCCAAGTGCTGGGATTAAGGGTGTGCACCACCACCACCTGGCTCCTTTGTGTTTTCTTAAATGCCAACTTTTAAAAAGCCAGGTTAGCTGGGTGGCTGTGGCGCACGCCTTTAATCCCGGCACTCGGGAAGCAGAGGCAGGCGAATCTCTGTGAGTTCGAGACCAGCCTGGTCTCTAAAGCGAGTTCCAGGAAAGGCGCAAAGCTACACAGAGAAACTCTGTCTCCAAAAACAAACAAACAAAAAAGCCAGGTTAATGATATTGCCGCAATGTAAATGGCCAGTTGTTATCTGTGTAGCCAAAAATTCAGTCTTAAATCTCCAAACCATCCAAAAGAGCAAGTTAGGGAGTAGCTAAATAAAGGGACACATATTATATAGTACATTATACTGGTTCAGGATATAGGTGAAAGTACCTCGGTATGAATAGCTTAAAGCCAAATAGAACACTCATTCATTAATGTAATAAATGGGATACACAAATTTCCAGCCTGTACAGAAGAACAAAACTCATTCCACCAAGGGAGCATAATATGATTGTTTTCACCATAACACTTAAAATATTTTTACTAATTATTTGAGAATTTCCTACAGTGTATTTTGATTAAGCTCACCACCACTCCTTCCCCTAACTTCTCTCAGATTCATCCCCATCCCCATATCCCCCTCAACTTCATACTCTCTCTCTTTTTTTTTTTTTTTTTGGTTTTTCGAGACAGGGTTTCTCTGTGTAGCTTTGCGCCTTTCCTGGAACTCACTTGGTAGTCCAGGCTGGTCTTGAACTCACAGAGATCCGCCTGGCTCTGCCTCCCGAGTGCTGGGATTAAAGGCGTGCGCCACCACCGCCCGGCATACTCTCTCTTTTTTAAATAACCAGTTTGACCCAATTTGTGCAGCCCATATACTCCTGGGTGTAGGGCCATTCACTGGGACATGCTTGACCTACCAGGGGCCACATCACTCCACTGTGATTTCTACAAGGTGTAGGGTTGCTTTAAAATGACAGTCACAGGGACCTGGAGCTTTTGGAGCCTCCACTTGCCTTCCTCTCCTGTATTATGGCTCCTGGGGTCAGAAACAAAAGAGACAAGTGACATGAGTCAGGTTCCATTAAAACTTGGACATGGGTGCTTTTGATTTTATTCCAATGCCTAGGTCACTGTCTGATATCTAACACATAGTTACTAAGAATTTACTTTAGATGAACCAGTTCACTCCTGTGGTCTTAACTGTAAAGTGGAGTAAAATCCACAGGGCCGTGGGGAGTGCTATAGTAGTAGTAGTTTCTCCTTGGGACTGCTAGCTTACAAATAACGACACAGAGACTTCGTATTAATTATGAAAATTTGGCCTTGAGTTTAGGCTTGTTTCCACCTAGCTCTTATAACTTAATTAACCCATTATTTTTTTTAATCTACATTCTGTCATGTGGCTCTTTACCTTTCCTCAGTTTGGCGTGTCCAACTTACTCCAAGTCTGCTAGCAATATCTGAGCACCTAGATTGCTCCTCCGATTTTCTCTCTCTACCAGGAAGTTCTGCGTATCCTCTCCTGCCTAGATATTGGCCATTCAGCTTTTTATTAAACCAATCAGAAGGTGCCTTAGGCAGAGACACATCTTTACAGTGTACAAAAAGATTATCCCACAACAGAGTGCCTGCTAGAAATGTAAGGCAAATTCATAATCAAACTTATTCAGGGCCAGTGGCATATGGTAGAATGTGAACTCTTAGGACAGTGTTAGAGCTCACCAGTACTTTCCAGTGATACCACACATTGATACATGCTTCGCAATAGTACAGTCACCTGGGTACATGCTGTTAAGAAAAACCGAGTAATCTCATGGGATTAGACCAGTGGAATCTTAGAAGCAGCCTCTAGCTTGAGTAAGCCATGTCCCCTTCCTTCATGGTGCTTTGGATTTGTTCCAATTCTTGTCTGTGGATAGACTGCACCTCTCCCACAAAGGAGATCATGGAAGCTGATTCACACCCCATACAGCAATGTTTTTGTTTCAAAAAAACCAGCAAGTAAACAACTAATAGCATACATAACAATTTCATTCATAGAGACTGAACAGCAAGTTAACCACAGGTAAAAAGTATTGCTGCTCAGACAACTCGTTTATTATTATTAAAGTTAATAATATGTGGTCTGCCCCAACTATCAGACACTGGCTGAGAAGCTAATGGATAAGCCAAAACCCTGTATGTATGAATCTAGCATTCTAACATGGAAGGATGGGCTCTATTAGATTGGTGTTAAATTTAACAAACTGAGTAGGCAGTGGGAAATGAAAAATGCTATGGAAAAAGTAAACATTGTACACAGCATAAGGGGATCGGAATTGAAGGCATCTGTGCCTTTAAATTACACACATTCACTTGCTGGCCTCCCTCTGCATGTTACTCAAAGGACAAACAAGGCCACTAGCAGCACATAATACATTCCTGACCATGGAAAACAGAATTTAACCTAATATGAAGTGTTGTTCCTTTGCTGTACACAAAAGCCAGTTTGGGTATGTCTCTGAATAGATCAGGCACCTTCCTAAAGTGAGTCCACACTTCCAACAAAATTACCAGGGTGTTTTCAAGTAAAAACATAGTTAACATACATTTTGGCTTACTAATTCAAACTATTGCATTAAAGTAGGCCCTTCACTACACATAGAAATAACACTGAAGAAGAAATACAAAAGGCTTGGTTCCTATGTTCCTTGTACTGGGGCCATTATGACTGCTCTCCACAAATACTGAGACTGAATGCTCTGCACAGCGACCACATTGACAATATCATCTAGTTGAGGCACATATCCAGAAGGAAGTTTAAGGGAATCCAAGGTGAAAAAGATGGTGTCTTCCAGCACCCCAGTTCTTCCATCTACTCTGGTAACGCAAACCTGGGATGAGAAATGGCAGCAATGAATGGAGAAATCATGGTCACAGACTCTGCCCCTTTTCTCTCTGGCTCTAGCCAGCAGACCCCTTCACCCCACCCCAGATTCCCACCCTATGTTACACAATAGCAACATTTAGGTGCTGTGTAAGCGCACCCCTGTCCAGATCCAACCTCAGGCCAATGAAAGCAGTCCCTGAGGATGAGCACCAGGTCTCTGCGGAGAGAATTTTGTTTTAAATATTACCCACAATGACTGTTCACTTCCAGTTAAGGCCGACTGTTTGAAAAACAAAGAGTGAGCAAGGAATGTGTTGCTAAGTAGACTATCATTTTTCCTCTACTTTGTCGGTTGCATTAGAAGCAGCACATTCCTTCATTTTTCTTATGGTACAAAATGAGTGCAAGTCAACTTGTTTTCAGTTTTTACTACCCATATCATACCCACATACCACTGAGGGGTTTAAGTGACACTCCACTCATTTTTCTTAACAATTCCAAGAAACCTCACCATTGTTTTTTAGTTTTGTTGTTCTTACCACATTTTGATGCCTCCCAGATAAACTGTGTAAACTTCAATTTTCATCATATGTACTACATTCTCCTCATTTCCATTCAGAATTACAGTATTTTTAATAAGAAAAGAAGCTCATTTTGGTAAAGCTATTATTTTAGGTTTCCTAACACTTGTAACATAATCCTGAGCAGCAAAAATGATCACTAAATGAAAGCTAAGCAGACACAAAGGAAGTACAGCACATGAACTACCTCATTTACATGATGGTGTTTCAGAGGCTTCATCAAGATGGCCTTCCTGCTCTGTGTGTCTTGCTGCTCAGAAAACTCAATTTCTACCAGGTCACCCTTATAAGGTTCAAAATCTGTAACAGTCATGGGAGAAAATCAAGTTAGAGGGGCATCTTATTTGGGGAATATGACATTTCACCATTTACTCTCAAGTTATCTCTGACACAGTTTCTATTGAGTATAAAGTACATTTTTAACATTTAGAACCCCAGGGCCGGACAGATGGTCCAGAGATTTTACTGCTGTTGCAAGGGACTCAGGTTCAGCTCCCAGTACCCACAGCCACCTGTGGCTTATCTGTGCTCTCCTCTGGTCTCTCTGCAGGTGCCCCCCCACATACACGTGATGTACACAAATGCACACATACACAATAAATAAAAATAGACACAATTTTTGTAAAAGGTAAGGGCTGAAGAGATGGTTCTATAGTCAAAAGCAATTACTGTTTTCTTTCATTTCTTTCTTTTTTTTAAACAAAAGGTTTCTCTGTGTAACCTTGGTTGTCCTGGAACTCTCTCTGTAGACCAGGCTGGCTTCGAACTCACAGAGACCTGCCTGCCTCTGCCTCCCAAATGATGGGTTTAAAGGCATGTGCCACCAACCCCCGGCTGTACTTGCTGTTCTTGCAGGGGACCTGGGTTCAGTGTTCAGCAACCTCATGGAGGCTACAGCTGCCTGTAACTCCAGCTCAAGGGCCTCTGTAGGAACCAGGCATTCAAGCAGTGGTATATAGATACACTCAGGCATAACACTCACATACATAACATTTAAAAGAAAAAACAGTACTAAAACAAAGTGAGGTAGTGAAATCTGTCTAACGAACAGGAAGGAAAGAACATATTCATTCCTCAGTATAGGGCAAAACAACATGATTTTCCTTCTTTTAGTGTCTCATTAAAGAAATTATTGAGGCTGTAGCTTACTTAGCATGTGATTTGATTTCTAGCAACACACAGTAATAATAATAATAATAATAATAATAATAATAATAATAATAAACTGTTTGCCATTTTCACTGGGTTTCATAGTATTCATTTAATAGCATTTATTATGATAATTTTACATATGACTGGCTGGGGCTTTTAAGATTTGTTTCCAGTGCTAGTGATCAGCAAAACTTCTTTTTTAGCCACTGTCTTTCTTACCCCAAAAAAGTCTGCTAATATGACTAACTCTATTTCACAAAGGTAGATCTCTCCACTTAAGCCTTGGGACCTATCCTCTATTTATAGCTCAGGGACTTCACTTCATCATTTCTTCCTGCTCTCTTCAGCACCTTTAGTCATATCCTTTGCACTACGAACATGTCCAAGTTCTTTCCACTCTGAGAAGAGTATTTCTAGCATCCTTCCTGTAGTTGGTGACTTCCTATTTAGTAAAGTGACAGGCTAATAAATTATCTTTGGAACTTAGCAATCACAGGGACCCTTTCCTCTGAAATGTGAGAATTTCTGGGGAAACATGTTGTAAAATTCTAGACACCACCAAGCAGTCATTGTGGGAGGGTTCCTGAGATAACAACCAAGATCAAGTTCAGGTTCTTACATCCAAGAAAGGTAAAGTAGAAAGCAGCTTTGTATACTGGGACAATGTCACTCTTTTTATCCAAGTTAAATGGCACCTGATTAAGCTACAGTGAGTATAATTTATTTTTACTTCCATTCATCTTTCAAAATCCAGCCTGGTACCTGGAAAGCTGATGAAGGAAGATGTCATGAGTTTAGAAGTTTGAGACAAAACTAGGCAATAGAGGAAGTCCCTGTCTCAAGGTGGGGGGAAGCCTTATAATAATAACGGTATCAAGTTTACATTTCACTAGATTTGCATTTCATTATGCATCAAACTATTATTTTTCATTTTGTTTTCGTCCTCCAACTTAACCGTTAAAGGCGCAGACACTGAACGGCAGGGTATACAGTCCAGCCTGAACAGTGCACAGCCCAGTCAGCCTTCTCTAATTTCTGCCATCACTGTCATTCTTACAGCTTTGCCACTGCTGCTTTGCATCCAGACTTTTTTTTTCTTTTTGGTTTTTTCAAGACAGGGTTTCTCTGTGTAGTTTTGGTGCCTGTCCTGGAACTCACTCTGTAGACCAGACTGGCCTTGAACTCACTGAGATCCGCCTAGCTCTGCCTCCCGAGTGCTGGGGTTAAAGGCGTGCACCACCACCACCCGGCTCATTCAGACTATCTTAATGGAGTCACTTGTCTGTCTCTCCCAATGATACTATGAGCTCTCTATAAAAAGATTTAATGAAGCCTTCTATATTTTGTCTTCTGCCCTCAATATTTAGAACTCTCAATTGAGCCAAATAAAAGTCCAATAGTCTCTTTAAATTAACACATCATTGCTTTAGATATGAAACAATAAATACAAATAGACTGAATACACACACACAGACAGAGAGAGAGAGAGAGAGAGAGAGAGAGAGAGAGAGAGAGAGAGAGGGAGGGCGGGCTTTTTCCGAGCCTTATTTTAAAGCACTTGAAGTATTACGAAATATTATCTTTTCACTCATGTAATAGTGTTAGAATAGAAATTAAATACGCACAAAATTAAAAAGCTGCACAAATATTAGTATACCCAAATAAATGAAAATGTAACAAATTATAGTATGAGATTTTTTGATGTCCCTTGCTGTACCTTACTTTCAAACTCCAACATTCCACTTCAAATACTGAAGTGCCACTGATAAGAGCCAAGTATCAGATTGAGAACGTAGCTCAGTAGTACAGACCTTGCCTAACAAGCACAGGGCTCTGAGGTCAATACATCCAAAGATCCAAGTGTACTACAGTCGTAGATGTAATACAAAAATCCTCTTGTCAAATTAGCATGTTCCAAATTTGAAGATATTCCTTAGTCCAACTCATAATACTTCAAATGAGTGACACCTAATTTTAAATTTAAAAATAGGAGCTGGATGATGGTGTATGCTTTTAATCCCAGCACTCAGGAGGCAGAGGCAGGCAGATCTCTGTGGGTTCAAGACCAGCCTGGTCTACAGAGCAAGTTCCAGGACAGCCAGGCTACACAGAGAAATCCTGTCTCAAAAGAACAAGAAAATAAGTAAATAAATAAAAACGTGAATTGTACTGGGCGATGGTGGCACATGCCGTTAATCCCAGCACTTGGGAGGCAGAGGCAGGTGGATCTCTGTGAGTTCGAGGCCAGCCTGGGCTACAGAGTGAGTTCCAGGAAAGGCGCAAAGCTACACAGAGAAACCCTGTCTTGAAAAACCAAAAAAAAAAAAAAAAGTGAAGTGTACCTTTACAGACAATGTCTAAAGAGAAAGACAGTTCGTGATTAATATGGTCAGCATCATCTATCAGAGAGGTGATACAGTCAAGTGACACTGTCATGTGAGATGCTGACGGGTCATCACCATGGCCATCACAGTAAGCATCCGCCTGGAAAATAGTAAATAAACAAATAAATAAACTAAAAATGGTTACTTCAAACAAACTGAAGTTAAAAAATTTGAATTCTACCCTAAAAATCTATTCAATAATTCAAATAATGATCATAGACAACTGGCACATAAATTGGCATGTGCTGATGGAATAATGCTTGAGCTTTGTATCATTTTTACTATAGTTTTAGAGCAGATTAGGAAAACTGAGAAGAAAATAGAGTTGCCACACATTTTCACTAGTCAATCTTTAGCTTCTCTTATCATTAGCATCTTGCATTGGTATGCCACATTGATTGCAATTGATAAGCCAGCATCAATACAGAAAAAGGAGGGAAATAAACGCTAAGATTCCAGAACAGAGCATCTAAGGAGACAAAAGAATGTCAAGATAAATTTGAGAAAATAAATCTAGAGGTATATACCACCTTAAATACTATCAGTCTCATGTGATCTTGGAAGCTAAGCAGGGTCAGGCCGACTTTCCCATGAGAGGGAAGAAAACAACCACAGCTGGAGGGTCTAAAAGTCACAGTTAAGTTAGGACTGTATCTAAAGTAAAATAAAGGGGGCGGGGTACGGTGGTAGTTTATTTGTACTGAAATGTGATTTTATTTGTATGTTAATAAATAAAGTTGCCTGAGGGTCAGAGATAATAGCAAGCCATAGCAGAGCTGGGCGGTGGTGGAGCATGCGTGCAACTGCTTGGGGCTACAGGGAGGGTATCTAAATTCTCATTTCTTAGGATTATTGGTTTCCTATGCAATAACCACTGGCCATGTTCTCATGAAGTGACCAAGATAACAACATCTTGCCCTGACTCCATTTTGTGTCTGCTCAGGCCATTTTCAATCCCTAATTACCTGAACAGTCACATCAATCTTGGCCACACATTAGGGACTTTCTATGACCTTCACCATAGCCTGGATGTATAACCAAAATATCTATTTAATGCATAACCAAAACTAATATAAAAAGGTCCCCCTGACCTATACCTGACAAGGGTATCACTGTGGTTTTTTGCCTTTATAAACTCTATACCCCTGAGCTTCAGGGCCAAGAGTTCTTTATGGCAAGAGTCTGCTCTCCACTGTCAGCTACTAAAGGACTCCCATGTGGCTTTACATGTGTAGTGGTCTGTAACTTTCTTCCCTAGACTATAACACTCATACCTACCTTGTTCCAGATTATTTACCTATACACTATTTTAAAGGAAAATGTAATATTACACATGTGTAATAAATATATAACCAAATGAGCACAAATAAGTCAATTTGCTTTAACTTTTTAAAAGATAACATGACATCCCACAAAAAGGAAGTGCCGTACTTTAGTGGCTCCATTCCACACAGTTAGACATACAACTTATAATCTAATACACTACCTATTTGCCTAATATATACATGTAGGATTAGCACTCAGGAGCAGAATTTCATGCTCAAAATTTTCCAGTGAGAGCTCCCACAGCTGCTGGCCCACGCTATGAGCATCTAGTTAGTGGCCGTGGGCTTTATTGTTGCCTGATCCAGCTCAGGTCCTGCCCTACTCCTCACTCATCCCTGCCCCTCTGACCCCCAGCCTCGGGCTTCACCCAGAGCTCAAGCTGCTCTCCATCCTGGGGCAACAGTTTATGCTGCAGATTGGCCAGAATGCACCCAGCTGGATTTGTCCTGCCTCTTGAAGAGTTCCCTGGGGCATGGAATGAAATGGGAAAATTAAGGAGACTACTTGGCATGAACTTGTACCTGAACTGATTCGGTCTGTGGGACATAATGTGTTTGCGTTGTTTAAGAGATCCATATGCTGTTTTTTTGCAAATGACTTTTTCCTCAGTTTCCTTATTTATTGTTTCCTTTTTAATTGTTTTAATTTTTATTTATTCTTCTCTCATGCAATACATCCCGACCACAGCCTTCCCTCCCTCCACTCCTCCCAGCTTTCCACACCCCTTGTGCCTAGTCTTATTGTAAATGACTCTTATGTAGCTATTTCCTCTGAACTGAAAGTCTGCAGAGAGTTCCAGGGGTGCAGCTTTTAGAAGTCATCACCAATGCTAGGGTGCACTGTTTGGTGACAGAGTTGACTTTGAGTCACCTGTTGTCCTATAACCAATCCCCCTGTAAGACTCCAATAAGTTCACTATATACCCAAGTTAGACTTGGGTAGAAACTCTGGTCTGTTTTGGTGCCCTGTCTGGAGTGAGTGGACTTTTGTTGCTATGTTCCTAGGAAAAAGCAAGTAAGAGTGACTGAATCCATGCTCAAATGTGACGGTCTAGAAAGAGAAACTGTTGATTTATCCTGTCCTTGTGAAATGTGTGTGTGTGTGTGTGTGTGTGTGTGTGTGTGTGTATGTGTTTGGGGAAGCGGTGGCTGGGAGATGTTCATGCCTGTATGTGTGGAAGTCAGAGGCCCACACTGGGACCTTTTTCAATTGTTCTCCACCTTATTTTTCAAGATAGCCTCTCTCACCAAACCAGAATGCCATGACTGCCTAGACTGGCTGTCCAGCAGGCTCCAGGAACTCTCCTGTCTCTGCTCTTCGGCACTGGGACTAAAGGTCATGCTGCTGCAACCAGCTTTTAACTGGGTGCTGGCTCAAGTCTTCATGTTATGCAGCAAGCACTTCTCAGAGTGACCCACGGCCCTGCTTCTTACTCTCATGGAAGTCGATGGCACTTTAGTGAGGTTTAAAGATTTAATGGCGTTTTCATCCTCCAAATGTAGCTACAGGCATAACACATTGTAAAGGAGTAACTGAAATTGTGGTGTTCCTGATTTATGGGGCCTTCTTAATTAAATTCGGTCTTGGGGGAAATAAATGAATGAAATTTGATTCATATAAATTCATTTTCATGTTTCCAATTTTGAAAACCCCAGTTTCTCCCTCCATGTAACTTCCATCTCCAGCTGTCAATACCAACTTCCTCATGGTTAGTTATTTATTCTGTTTTCTCCATAAATGAAGCAACAGGTTCGCATACTACATGGGTAATCCAGTACACCCTCTGACCTCTCAATGCCCTGTCTCCAACTAACAGGCAGCCCTACTACATGTGGAAGCCTGGCTGGCTTTTCACTTCTTAGATGGCTAGAAATGGCAAGGATTGACAATACTTTCACTCTTGCCAAACCTGACAAATAGGGAGTCTCACATCCCACCGCTGATGGTATCAATGAGCACACTAATAACAATAAGCTTAATTCAAATACACAGACTGAAGTGATAAGTATCTGAACTGGGGAGCTTGATACAGATTCTGGAAATCTGAAAATGTTTGAAACTGGGAGAACTCCATGGTAAGTAAATTATGCTTCAATAAAGCTATTTTTAAAAAAATGATTAAAGTACATGTCTTTTCACATAGTAATTACTTATTAAATAGCACATATCCATTATTTGCATTATAGAAAAAAGTTACAGAATAACATACATTCTAATAGTCATTGTTAAATACTGAGGAATAGATAATGCAATTTATACTTTTCTAAATAAATACTAATACAAAAATATAACAGATATCCTATACAATCCTCTAAGTTAGACCAGCTTCCATCCACAGCAACATACCTATTAAAGAGGGGCTGACTAAATAGAAGCCAGTGTGAAAGAACTCAGAAATAAGAAAGTACCCAGAATGTACAACTCTTACTGTGATTGCATTAGATCCGTGAGTGATTTGGTCTACTTCCGTAAGTGCAGGAACCTTTGGTTTAACTTGCAGAGGTTCATTGCCTGGCATGACACCAGCATTGAAGAGGATGCGCTCGTGAATGCAACCATAGTCACTGCAGGACCCTGTCGCAACTCCCTGCATGGTTTGTGTGTCATCTAAATGATGAGTAAAGAAAAAAAATACATATGTGTAAATTATTCTCAAGCACAAACACATACTACAAATAAGCCCTACCAAGAAAGTTGTGATAACAACCGTCTAAGTCTAGAAGTAAAGTGATTTTGATTTAAGATAATGAAAGGACCAAACAGACACCATAACAGGCTGTCAGTCTTCTCTCAGAGATCAGGCCTCAGTTTCAGTTTCCTGAGACTTGAGCAAGCAGTTTCTGGGAGGGCCATGAACAAAAGACTTAGTCCTTGCAGTAGCTCCCTTTCTGCACGTACTCTGACTGCTCAAGGTTCAGCCAATTGTTTACTCTCTGGGACCCCTCATCAACTTAGAGCTACATGCATGGGTCAATGTGAACGTGTAAGGCCAGCCAGCCTCCATGGCAGCTCAAGGACAGAGCCTGGGACTTGTCCAGGCCTGCCCAAAAATGATAATTGTAACCCCCAACCAGTAAATTCAAAGGTTACACACCCTCACCCAATCATATGACGCAAAGACTTGTACGACCCTGCTTGCAGTTTTTCCCTTTAAAAACCCCTCACTCTGAGAGCTCAGGGCTGTCCTCCTCCACCTGCTATGTTGACTGTTGGACACAGACCAAGCCCAGGCTTGCTTGTTATCGATAAACCCCTGTGTGTTTTGCATCAGGTATCGGCTCTGTGATGCTCTTGCTCGGGGGTGGGGTGGGGGGGTGTTGGTCTCGAGACACGGGCACAATAGGAATTAGGTTAGTAAGCAATGATTAAGTATGCAAGATTCTGGAGGGAGAGTGGCTAGGTTTACATCCTGGTTGCATGGAGGTTGTGTGTGTGTTTTCTTTTGTTTGTTCAATCTGGGCATCAGGGTATGAGTTCTGCTGGGCCACAAACTAGATGGGCACTCTTTGCTGCTTGCCTACCTGACTTGTCTGTAGCATGGACATGATAATACTAGAGCTTCTTTTGTGAGGATGTTTGTGAATAGTAATGATATTTTCAGGCCTTAAAGCCAGAGTCTTTGGCCAGGTGATGGTGGCACATGCCTTTAATCCCAGCACTTGGGAGGCAGAGGCAGGCGGATCTCTGTGAGTTCAAGGCCAGCCTGGTCTACAGAGTGAGTTCCAGGATAGGCTCCAAAACTACACAGAGAAACCCTGTCTTGAAAAAAAAGCCAGAGTCTTTGAACATAAATTATAGTTAATTAGAATTGATACAATTAATTAGAATTGATATAATTCAGAGGAAGGATGCCATTCACCCCAGCCATTTCAAACTATTTACTGGACTCTCACTAATGAAATACATACCCTTAAAATAATCCATTGTACAAGTAATCAGTGGCAGAATCCAGGGCTTGCATTTAGGGAGGGATACAAAGTGAGCAAGTAAACTTTGATTCCTATCTTCTTATTGGTCATAGATATATGATTCATTTGCTTGGTTCCTATTATAGGTTGGTTTTAAATGTCATCTATAAGCTAACGTATTAAAAGCTTGATCCCTGCCAGATTGTGGAGGTGCATGCTTTTAATCCCAGCACTCGGGAGGCAGAGACTGGTGGATCTCTGTGAGTTCGAGGCCAGCCTGGTCTACAGAGTAAGTTGCAGGACAGCCATGGTCACACAGAGCAACACTGTCTCAAAGAACAAAAACAAAAATGGCTTGATCCTCAGGGAACAGTGTTCAAAAGTGAAGCCTTTGGATTAGGAAAGCCATGACCTCATTTGCTGAGTAATTTTATGAATTCATATACCTTGGTGAATTGGGGGGATGAAGGGCTTTGTTATGAAATTTATCTTTTTCTCTCCTTCCTGTCTGTCCTGAGTTGAATAACTCTGTTCTACTACATCTTCCCACCAGAATGTTCTGTCTTGCCAGAATTCCAGAAACACAGTCAAGTACCTACTGACGGAACACTCTGAAAGTGTGAGCCCCAAGAAGCCTTTCTTCCTCTAAGTTAATTTGTCTCAGGCATTTTATCACAGTAACAGAAAGATGGTTAATAGATCCAAACATGTGCTCAGTTAAGAGACAAAATCAACGGGCTGGCAAAATGGCTCATTGGGTAGAGTTGCTTGCTCCCAGGCCTGATACTGGATTGGATTCCTTGATCCTTCAAAATGGCAGGAGAGAACTGACTCCTACAAGCTGTCCTCTGACCTTCTGACATGTGCTGTTGCATAACTGTATACACACACACACACACACACACACACACACACACACACAGAGAGAGAGAGAGAGAGAGAGAGAGAGAGAGAGAGAGAGAGAGAGAGAGAGAGAGAAAAGAAAAAAAAAGATAAGTTTTTAGGATAAAATAAAATCACCACCAAAGTAGAAGATCCAAAAATCCAAAAGGAATTTTCCTGTAACCTACAGTAAACTAAAGCAGAGTCTCTGAGTTCAAAGCCAGCCTATAGAGTAAGTTCCAGGACAGCAGGACTGTTACACAGAGAAACCCTGTCTTGAAAAACAAAACAAACAAACAAACAAACAAAAAACACCCAATAAACCCAAGCCGGGCGGTGGTGGCACACTCCTTTAATCCCAGCACTCGGGAGGCAGAACCAGGCGGATCTCTGTGAGTTCGAGGCCAGCCTGGCCTACGGAGCAAGATCCAGAACAGGCACCAAAACTACAAACAGAGAGACCCTGTTTCGAAAACTTATTGAATTGATTCTTTAAGAATTTCCTACAATATATTTGGATCCTATTGACACAGCCCACTTGCTCCAATTCCTCCCAGATTCACCCCACCTCCCCAGTCACCCAATATAGTAGTCTCTCCCTGTGTTTCTTTTTAGGCCATCAAGTCCAACCTGTGTTGCCCAAACACTCTTTGGTCTAGTGCCTGCCTTGGAGTGTGGTCGACCTGTCAGTGGTCACATCCTTAGAGAAAGCTGGCTCTCCCTCCCCCAGCAACTATCAATTGCCAATCGCTCCTCAGGTATACTAAAATGGCTTCTCACCCCTCACCCACCTCTGCCTTCTTTGTCTTTGGCCATACTTTGTCCTTTCTATTTTAAAGATTTTTGTTTGGTTGGGTTTTTTTTCTTTTTTTTTTTTTTTTGGTTTTTCAAGACAAGGTTTCTCTGTGTAACAGCCCTGCCTGTCCTGGAGCTCGCTATGTAGACCAGGCTGGCCTTGAACTCAAGGAGATCCACCTGCCTCTGCCTCCTGAGTGCTGGGATTAAAGGCGTGTGCCACCACCGCCCGGCTTATTTTAAATTTTTTTGAAAGAGTGTGTGTGTGTGTGTGTGTGTGTGTGTGTGTGTGTGTGTGTGTTTGCGCACGTGTGTACGCACACGTGCCTGCCCTGAGTGTATGTATGTGTACCGCATGCCCTCGGAGGACAGAGGACTTTGGAACCCAGAGAACTAGAACTAGAGTTACAGGCAGTTGTGAGCAGCAATGTGGGTGCTGGGAACTGAACCCAGGTCATCTAAAAACCAAAAATGCTCTTAACTACTCTCTGTAGTCCCCATTATTTTGCCTTTATTTGTCATTATTTTCTCTTTGCCTTTTGTCTTTCCTTTGGGCAGGAAAGTTCTAGAGTGAATCTATGCAAGACTATCCAGCAGGTGGCGGAGGAGGGCACGAATGGGGATGCCCTACTGCAACAAGATGGCGCTACTAAACCGGGCGGCGGTGGCGCACGCCTTTAATCCCAGCACTTGGGAGGCAGAGCCAGGTGGATCTCTGTGAGTTCAAGGCCAGCGTGGTCTACAGAACAAGATCCAGGACAGGCACCAAAACTACACAGAGAAACCCTGTCTCTAAAAAAAGATAAAAACAAACAAACAAAAAAAAAAGATGGCGCAAGTAAGCCATGGAGAAGTTTTCTAAGTTCTTCAGACTCCAGATGGAGATGGGACATACCTCAAAGAGAAGGTCTCTTTGGGGAAAAAAAAATAGTGCAGTACCTTGCAAGAGCCTCCGCTTCTGGTCCCTCTCTTCCTCTGGGTCCGCTTTCCTCCGAAAGAAGGCACGAAATCTGGAAATTAGCCGATGCATGGTTTGTCGTCTGAGCAAGCTTGAGCACCAAGTGGTACCAGGAGTGAGGCTTCCTGCTGTCTAGTTCTCAGTCTCCCAGAAGCCTTACCACAGCCGCTCTCTCAGAGCGCTAGCTAGTCTACTTCTGTTCTTTGTACATCCCCTCTAGGCTCTCACTGTGGCAAGACTGCCACGTGTGGAGCACCGGTGTATCTGCTCAACCAGCCAATAGGAGTGTAGATTACTCAGAGAAGGCTACTCAGAGTTGTGGGAAGTTGGAAGGCAGGACTTCAGAGTTTATCCCATCGCGTAGAGCTGCGATCAATCTAAAATAGCCTCCACCCGTACACTTTTATATGGTTTGTTGTGGTGGTTATTGTTGTTTTGTTTTTGAGATAGGATTTCATTCTAACCCAGGCTACCTCAAACTCATGGCAATCTTCTTGTCTCAGCTTCCTTTTCTTTTCTTTTCTTTTTTATTTCTTTTTGTTTGTTTGTTTGTTTTTGCTTTTTCGAGACAGGATTTCTCTGTGTAACAGCTCTGACTGTCTTGGGACTCACTCTGTAGACCAGGCTGGCCTCGAACTCACAGAGATCCTCCTGCCTCTGCCTCCTGAGTGCTGGGATTAAAGGATGTCTCAGCAGTTGTTTAGCTTAAACTGTTTAGGGGGCCCCCAGGCAGTGGGATCAGGATCCATCCCTGGTGCATGGGCGGGCTTTTTGGAGCCCAGTGCCTATGGTGGGAGACCTTACACAGCCTTGGTTCAGGAGGAGGGGCTTGGACCTGCCTCAACTGAATGTAGCAGGCTCTGCTGACTCTCCATGGGAGACTTTGCCTTGGAGGAGGTGGGAATGGGGGGTGAGTTGAGGAGGAAGGCTGGGGGGCGGGAGGAGGGAGGACAAGGGGATCTGTGGTTGGTATGTAAAATGAACAGAAAATTTCTTAATAAAGAAAACAACAACAAAAATAAATAAAAGTCAAGATGTTTATATTAAAAAAAAAGATAAATAAA